AGGCCTGATGATGCTGCCTGAAGATCATTAGGAAACAAGAGTGTCAAAAGGGAAAATTAGTTGTTCTAATCAAGGATAAAAGAACAGCTGTTTGGGTAACAATCTATTCATTTGATCATGAAAAACCCTAAAAAATCTGTAACAAATTCGCTTAAAGAGCAATTAAATCATCAACTTGTTTAGATGCGGAATAATGCCGCGATGATTCGAAAAGCAGCAATGCATGCCAACAAAGGGTTCCATAGTTCGGTCGCATCACAAATAAAAATAGCGCGAAATAATAGTAGTAATGTGGCATGAAAGCAGCATATTTACAAGGAGGATTTTGTGTTCCCCATATACAACTGTTCAGGCTGCTATCCCGTTACAACATTCCATAGTAAGGTGCTCCTTTGAGAAAATGAAAGGAACAATGCTAAAACAGACTGCTTACTGGTGAAATTCCGCGTGGAGGTATGGGTGAGGTAGTATTCGAAGAAAAATTTGTTAAACTTCGCAGCTGCTGTTGCTGTTGGACTGCCTGATGTTGTTGAATTGTGGCAGGGTTGAAAGGGGCGGCAGAGAATGGATCCAGAGTAAGTAGGTTACCAAGCCCCCCTCTTCCTCCAGAGGCTGAGCTATTAGTCTCGTCGAACGACACGGGGAAAGTGGGTGAGCCTCTTGCTATTTCATTGATCAGAGGGTTGCGGAATGCAAAGTTAGACCGTTGTGAGGTTTGAGATGCCCTTCCCAAGGACAATGCAATGGCCCCTGCTGAATGGTTTGTGCCTGGTGCCTCCTCTACCTCGGTACCAGTCTCCTCTGGGATCGTTGCCCCTACAAAAATCATAAAAATGCGAACTGGAGATTACAAATGTAGTTAAGTAATACAATAGTGATGAAAATTGAAGTCTAGTTCCGAAGCCATTGTTCCATTGAGCATAATAAGTTGTTAAACTGTACAGCTTCCGTAAGATCCATGAGTGGAATGAAAATGGTGAACGCATACCGTTTTGCATCGTTTGAGAAACGAAGGATGATATTGTGTTGCGCAGGGTATGGTCCACATCATGATTTCTACAGATTTCTGAGAGGCCTTACAACTGTTGTATGCATAATAACAGATAATCAATGCAACACAAAGCAGGACACATTGGAGCATATACACTTCTTTATAGTGGTGAATGCAACTTGATTTAAAAATATATAGCTGCTATATGGCTCAAAGTTGTGAAATACGGGATTCAGAAATGCAAAAAAGCTGCGAACTATTTATTTAAAACAAGTAAAATCCGAAAAGAAATCAAAGAGTAACACGAAGATCTATGAAATCAAGAATAGAGCACACCAAAGCCCTAAACATGAAGCAAAATTTATGAAAAAAGTAAAAATGTGGTAAGTCTACTCCCTTGAGGGTTAAATGGAAATCATAATAAGGTCAAATAAGGAACAAGGAGAAGACAGCGAACGGTTGACTTTGCATGGTTTCGTACCATTCATAACAAGTTTAGTTCTCTGCAGTGTTGAGGCGGTCGGATCCGTTGAGCGCATGGAAAAATGGTGCTTGAAAGGGCTGGTTTCCTGGAGCTTTGGGAACAGCCTTAACGACGTCTGAAACAGGAAATATTAACACCGTTTTTACAGTAATCCAAGAACAGTTGAGCGATAGCGAATGCCATCAATCTGAACTGCATCACTTTGGCACGACACAAAATTAACTGCTTAAGTGTATTGAAATCCAGCGGTACTACACAATCTGTAGTAACAACAAGAGCTCCAACACATAAGGCAGCTCAAGAAACAATCTTCATTATTTCGAAAGGATTTCTTTATTTAAACATCAGAAATCGTTCCAAAACTTACTGCTTCATTTCAGTCTTGTTTTGCTTACATCAGCTGTAAAAGAATTCCAATATGTATCAATTGCAAGACCCTTTTGAGCCTTCACAGTTCCAGTTGAAGTGTTACTTTCTTATTTCTCCACTCCGTGCAAAAATATTAGATGTTTTACCAAAATATTGGCATTTAATTAATTTCTGGCCATCATATTCATTTCGCTCCACTAAAGGCCATCGTTAACCATGCTCTTGAATGTTTGACTATATCAATTGATATGTTCGCCTTCTACGAAATTGCAAACTATTGACACCGATGACAGAATATTGCTAAATATACACTATCTAAGGAGCATGAACAAAAAATTGCCCGGTAGAAACGCAAAACAAAAGCATTTTGACGGATTTTGTCGACCAGGCATTAAAATCATTCCCGGTGCTCAAAAAAATTTAATGGGAAACAAAGCAGAAATCGCTGGATTGGTACAAATTTTGATAAAGAAACAATTTCAATTAAGAATGTGAATGCAACAAAATCTATGGTCACAGCGACAGAAGCAACGGCATTTCTTTGAGGTGGAATCAGATGATTATTGGGAAACAGCTATGAAAATACTTGAATAAGTAAACGCAAGGTACTATGAAGCACAACCAAAACCGGATAAAACAGATTATATTACTATTGCAAAGCCTTATGCGTTACTTCAAGCACGTCGATCCATCTTTGGAAAGAAGGTGTTGGCCATTTTGACAAAGAAGTTCTACGAATAAACTATTTTTTTAGCTAATTATAAGCTCTAGAAGAATTTGTAGAAATGAGTACGCAACTTGAGTAGGGACAGCAAGGTAAAATTCGTCTAGAGGCCCACATTAATCGGGTTACTAAGTAGAGTTGGCATGAGCAGCTGAATGCACGAGTTTGGTGAAATTGAAAATTGAGAATTTTAGCCGAAAGGAATTTTTAAAACCGGAAAGCAATGAAGGGTTCAATTTAGTAAAGTGAGAAACCATTTGAATCATCTCAAATACGAACGTTTGCGAGTCAAATAAATTGAATCCATGTCAGTTAGTGAAACCGTTTATTCACCTTCAAAAGTCGGCATTTGCGACTCAATTAACATGGATGTTTGCAACTAAAAGTCAGAGCGACTCAATAAATTCAGCAAGTAAAACTTACCTGTCGCTCAATGAGGGAAGGACTGGCACGTGGTCGAGGAATGGCACCGCTTCCAAGCTTAGGTAGAGTCGCACTCTTGTCAAGCCCAACTTCGAAAGGAACCACAGCCCCGTTGTCCACCTTGGCATCGAAGGTATGAGATTTTGATGGGGCCTCGGTACGATGGTCGACAACAATCGCTGATTGTGGATCGAGGAGGCGTTCAGAAAGACTAGTCTTTAATAGTTAAACAGGAACAACAATCATAGTGTGTCAAAACCACCTCTTAAAAAGATTTGAATATTCTGACCATATGTGGGCTTGATAGGGTAGCCCTATGTATACTGACGATTTCCCATAATGAAGACCACAATGTCTATTTGAAAATGAAGCACATTGCCAGACAAGAAAACAGGATGAATTCCTCAATAGAGGCGAAGACGAAATTAATAATTCAAATCGTACGTTATTCGAAAAACTACAGATTAAAGAACTACATAAACAAAATTTGCCACCGTTATGGCAGTCCAATTTAAACTTACATGGTGGACACAAAAAACGCCCAGACTACAGCCTTAAAAGTACTATTAGTTTTGGGGGAATTTAACAGATTCCACTCCAATAGCAAAATCCAATCCTATAGACAAAACACCAAAGCCTGATGAGTGCACCCGCAATATAGCACAATATTATTGGTTTTTCTTCCACAAAAAGCAGATGAATGATTAAACTCATGATTTGGCCAAAAATAAACAGTTACTGATAATTAAACTTCAAAACTTAAACACCACTAGGGTCAGTGCCGTTCATCCGCAAACAGCAGATCAGTATATTGAACCACTTTATAAGCAGAATTAATCTGATGTACATTGAGTGATCCAAAATTGTGTTGATTACCACCGAAGAGTTGAACTATGTCAATGGATAACGGATATGAAATAACAGAAGTATCAAACGAGGAAGCGGAATGGATCGACTAGCATTGACAAAATATGCATCAACTTTGTAGGTACGTGCTAATTTCCGACATGGCACTTGTTCTTATGCATTATTATGAGGGAAATTGGCAGTTGCAAGGCGATATGATAGTCTAGCGCATAAAATAAGCAACTTTCTCACGAAAATGTAACAATGCACACCTGGCGAAAGGAACTCATCCGGACGAAAGTTCCATCGTCACTAGCATAGGTAGCTTGAACGGCATCGCGTTCACGTTTCTGTTTTCTTTCAAGGCAAATAGCAAAAGCACAACCCACTGCATGCGACAAGCGTTCACCCTATTGCATTAGAAGATGCATTAGTCATGGTATCAATTCTTCAAAAAACCCTCCTTATGAGTACATAACCAAAAAAAGTGCAATAGTAATCAGAATGATGTCGAAAAAAAGACCCACCGACTCCTTCACAGCTAGAAAAGCGTGGCACATCCATCGACGAGTAGCCCCATCACGACAAATGTAAGCAAAACCTTTGTCATGACCACGATCCGGAGCACAGAACGATACCTTCTCAATGGTTTGATCAACAATTAGGTGCTGTTTTGTTTTTTTAATTACCACCAGCTTACCTTGCTAATCTCATCAGAGACTCGTAAAGCGTCACCACTGACATATAAAATAGCCCGTTGAGCTTTTTTCTAGAAAGTACGTGTAAAGTCAATTGTGCAGTACTTTAGATTTCCGGAGCGCTTTTATGGCTTCCTCACATACTTGCATACCCCGAGATTCAAAGACTTCAATACAGCCAAGATACTGAAAATAGCTTCGCAAAAAGTCCTACCTTGACTTGAAAGCTGCAAGAACCCTCCTTGATTTTCCTCTCGTCTTCGAGCCAAAGTTGGGGCTTGGACGACTCGGCAGTTTCGGTATCCTTCTTCTTGCGTACGCTGAATGATTTACGAAACCGATCCATCCGACACGACTTGAGATAGAAAATTGTGAGTTTAAATATCGCACCCATACATAACCGGAATGCAATTGACTGAAGGTAAAACCTTATGAAATTCCTCTCGAAGGAGTCTTAGAACTGAGAAACAGGACCACCTCGCCGACAAAAATGCAATGGATTAAAATTTGCGCGATTCAGGACCATTTGCCTAAACTAATTAATATTATGAAAACGAATGCGTATGAATGCAATCAGAAGAATTATACTTAAACACGTGAGGTAAAACTAATGCGATGCGTACCTATGACTAGTTACGAAAACAGCTACTAACCAAGTTTGGACCTTTTATTTTAAAATATTGCAAATCAAATGATGGTGCAACCAAATGAAAAACTTCTCATTAATATTCAGATTTACAATATTATGCCCTATTCTTGGACATCCGAAGGCAGGAAAAGGTATATCGTGATAAAATACAAGTTTGATGGAGGTAATTGCTTGGGGCTCCAGGAGTGCCATATTGGGCAGCACAGCTAACGAAGCAAACAGGCCAGGTAAGATTTGTGTAGTCATACTGTATCCATGATTTGCAGAGCAGCAAATTTTTAAGCACTATTTACTGCTGCGATCCCTTGGCCGCTACAATCCGGTCCAAAATTAACAGTTTTTTTGAAGTATTTTCTCTTCTAGCTGCTATTTTCATCAAAAAGCAGATTACGGGTGATTCATTAAATAAAAGAAGAGGAGGGAAAGTTAAAACTCAGCTAGTGACCCATTGCCTTGGGTATAAAAGAGCGTTTAAATCATTCATGTATATTTCTTATTAACGCTTCTTTCGATCATGGTGTCCATGGACATAAACGTCTGATAGTTGCTACACTCCCGTTTAGGTTTGGCTAAACTGTTGATTTACACAAATAACATAAAATTACACTCTAGAAACGTAAAGCCCATGAATATTCAGCAGCACTTAAATAGTTGTTCAATAAAAAAGGGGAATGAAGAACCTGACCTGATCCGCAGGCCAGCCATCTCAGTTGGCATAATGAGGGAGCCAAAGTCATAGCCTCCGATGCTGTTAGCAAAACGATC